TATATAAAATTTCACACTTACAGGGAATTATGAACTGTATAGAACTCCAGAACTGAAAGAGATCTTAGACTTCACTTTTTTTTTTTGCTGAATTCTAGATCACTTTCCTGGACTTGCACTCTGCCTCTTCTCAGGGTTTTAAAGCTACCTGAAGGCAGGGACGATAGCTTCTATTTCTTTTTGGCCTTCCTAGCACTTCACAGCCTTTAACGCAGGGCTTTATTACTTGGTGGTACTCACCTAATTCCAGATAAACTGCATCCTTGGACAGGCTTCCCCTTCCATCTACCCAAATAAATAAGAGATCCTGTACTGCAGCTGAGGTTATCCTCTTCTCTGCCCTTGTCCTTCACCCCAACAACTGAGAAGCGGGGGCCCTGGCCCAGCTCTTACTGTTCTCCTCCACCACTCCCCTGCTCTTCCTCCTTTTAGGCCTTGGTACCAGAATGTGGAGTGAGTGACTCCATGTCCTATGTGACACTCACTCTAGGATCTCGTTGTATTCAATTGTCTCCTCCAGGTTCTGAAGGTTCGGGTTGACACTGCGGATTGCACGCATGTATGCCTTTAGCAGCTGGATATCTCGCTTCTGTGGGAGAGAAGCAGAACCAGGAATGATGGTTAAGGCAGATAGCAGATAAAAGACAAGAGTTTATCTGAGAATGGGGGCCACTGAGAGATCTGAGGAACACCAGGCTACAGGCTTCTTCAGGAAGACAGGGATAGAACTGCCTCATTCCTGCTGCCTCTTCAGTGCTTAGCAAAGTTCATTCACAGAGAAGCCACTAGATAAACTGTAGGTGAGTGAATGCCATGAGTGTTCTCTAGCCCATACCTGCTCCGCCAGCTGGTGTTTGTGTTCAGCTGATGTCTTCTCCAGCTCTGCAATGCGTGTCTGCTGCTGCTGGACCACAGAACGCAAGTGCTTAATGCAGTTGTGGTTTGGCAGCTCATCTTTGGGCATCTCCAGGCTGTGGTTCAGATGGGGAAAGAGCAAAACCAACCCATTCAATGAGATATGTGGGAAAATGGCTTGTTCTGTGGCTGAAAACTGTTGAGTGGGCTTTCTCTTACCCTAAATTTCTCTTCTTTTTTTCAATACAAGGTCCCTCTGTGTAGTTCAAGGACCAGCCTTGAACTCATTATGTAGCCCAGGCTAGCCCTGAACTTGCATCGATCCTCCTGCCTCAGCCTCCCAGTGCTGGGATGATAGGCATGTGCCACCACACTTGGTTTATACCCAACATTTCTTACATTCATTTCAGGCATTCCTATTGTTTTTTTCTCTTTATTTTATTCTCCCAGACTTCCTCCTTGCCCTTTGCTGTCTCCTTTCTCTGAACTCTTCTCACCCTCCAAGATACAGTGTTATACGGTTTCTACCTTTTTTTTTTTCCTGTTTTTTTTTTGGTACCGGGGATTGAACTCGGGTCCTTGCACTTGTGCAGCAGGGGGCGAAAACACTGAGCTAAATCCCCGGCCCCTTTTTTTCTGTTTTTAAAAATTGTCCTTGTGTGCTTTTAAGAGCAGCCCTGTTTGGATGGCCCTCCTTAACTGAGAGGGAGATTGCTTTGTGTCCTACCCCATACCCTGTTAGAACTGGGCACAAGTGAGCAGGAAAGGCATAGGCCAGGACAAGGAAAGACAGTGTTTAACTGACCACATGGCTCTCCTCTTACTGATTTGGGCTGTGTACTTTTTTAGGGGGATGGGAGGGGGTTGAGTCTTGCTACATAGCTCAAGCTGGCCTCAAACTCACAACCACCCTCCTGCCTCAGCCTCCCAAATGCTGGGATTACAGGTGTGTGCCACCACACCAGGTTTATTTCTGAGAAGCCCTAGATTTATTACCCCAACTACCAGCATTTAATAATATTTCACACCTCTCAGACAGAAAAAAGAAATAGGGCAAGAGGAGACATGAGAAGTCTGGAAACTAGAGCACTTAGCCTCACAAACAGATAGTAGTACTGGACCCTAATGGAAGAGCAACATGAATCATTCTTTAATGTTATCACACAGGTTGTTGAACTGCTCTTCTCTTCTTATTAAAGCAAGAGCAAAAAGATAATAGTTGGAAAAGCAACAAGGTGAGATCTTGGGGGAAGATCAGGAAACCAAGAAGGCAAGGAATGCTCTTGCCTATACCTGTGAGCCTTCCCCAGCCCAAGCAGGGTGTCAGAGGTAGGTGTACAATGGGAGGCCCCAATCCAAAGAGGGTAAAGGGAAAGGACTCTCACCCACAGCCCTGTTCACAGGTCACAGGCCGCTTCGGGTTGTGCTCACAGTCGCTAAGGTGAGACATGAGGTTGTCAAGCCGGACAATGGCACTGCAACCAAACACAGCGTTGTCACAGGCAATCTGCAGCTTTGACAGCATGTTCCGCATGATCCGGGGCACTGGGCGGAGGTGGGCTACTGTCACGACACTACGGTCCACAGGACATGTCTGCTGCTGAGAGAACCACTGAGTGATACAGGCATTGCAGAAGGCGTGCTCACAGTGAGGGGCCTAGAGAGGGAAAGGCAAAAGGGATGCAGGAAATTAGCAGGAGTAGAGAATGTGATGAGCTAACTACAATGCCAATCAAGCTGCTGAGCAGCTTCTGTGACCAGAAGTCCCTGAGCTCATGGTAAATTATAGTTCTACTATGAGCAAGGCATTTTGGGGTCAGGCTTAAGATAGGTTTCCTTTGCTCAAGATTACAAATGGGTTGTAAGACAAGACAAACAAGTAAAAGGTTATATAACAAGAGATATAAATAACATTCCAGGACAATAGGAGAGATGACACAGGCTGCCAATTATTAATTGCCAACTGGATGGCATACACAATAACTGACAAAAAAGTCCAGATGGTGAGACTAGGTCAACCAAAGTAGGTATTCATGAAGAGGGCAGAATTTGTTATGGGTCTTAAAAGATGATTCAGACCATACATGTGGAGAGGAGAGGGGCAAAGATTTAAAGGCAAAAAGTTCAAGGTAAGAAGGCAGAACAAGCTAGGTGCATGGCCAGTGGCCAACGTCCCACAACTTGGGGAGCTGAAGTGGGAGGATCACTTGAGCCTAGAAGTTCAAGACCAGCTCAGCCAACAAACACAGCAAGCAAATAGAAATCTCAAGCACTAGTGCAAGGTCCTGAGTTCGATCCCCAGTACCAAAAAAAAAGAAAGAAATCTCAAGCAAACAAATAGAAAATGCAGAATGAGAAAAGTCTAGGGCTATTTTGTTTGTTGTTGTTATTTAGTTGTTTATTTTATTTTTGGTACCAGGGATCAAACTCAGGACCTTCCACTTCCATGGCAGGTGCAGTGTCACTGAGCTAAATCCCCGGCCCCTGGTTGTTTTTTATTTATTTATTTATCTATTTATTATGGTACCAGGGATCAGACTCAGGACCTTGTACTTCCATAGGAGGTGCAGTGCCACTTAGCTAAATCCCTGGCCCTAGTTATTTTTGGTACCGGAGATCGAACTCGGGACTTTGCGCTTGCAAGGCAGGTGCCGGAAGCACTGAGCTAAATCCCTGGCCCCCTACTTGTTTATTTTTTAGACAAGGTCTTCGTATGTAGCCTAGGCTGGCTTCAAACTCTCCATCCTCCTGCCTCAGCTTGTAATCGCTGGGTGCTGGGATTACAGGCATGTGCCACCAGACCCAGCAAAAACAGACTTCTGTTGAGAGGTAAGAGGCCTCTCTATGTAGACACAATTTGTTATATTATGAGAACTGACCTGAGGCGTTGCTCTGAGTCCGAACAGCCAAACCCAAGTTCCTAAACATAGGTAGACTTTTTCTGTGGAATCCCTTTTTTTTTTTTGGTACTGGGCATCGAACTTGGGACCTTAAACTTGTGAGGCAGGCGGTGGCATCACAAATCCCCAGCCCAGAATCCCATTCTTTTCAGTTTTTCTTCCTTCGTTTTTTTTTTGGGGGGGGGTATTTATTGAGACAGGGTCACTATGTAGCCCAGGCTGGCCTCAAACTCATGATGATGCTCCTGCCTCAGCCTCCCAAGTGGTGGGATTATACACATGCACCCCCACAGCCAGTATCTTTCTTTCTCTCTCTCTCTTCCTTTTTTGTTCTTTTAATGTGATGTCTGGGATTGAACCCAAGGCCTTGCACATGCTAGGCAAGTGCTCTACCACTGAGCCACATCCCAGCCCTCAATTTTATAAAGATCATAATTCAGCCAACTTCTCAGAGGATTCCCTGGTCCCTATGCAGATACCATCTAGCACCAGACACAGTAGGCACATAGTAGACAGTGATGAATAATGACTAGAGTGCTGACTATGTCCCATATGTTTTATTAAGTCCTTAAGATCTGTCCCCAAGATGCTCAGACACCACCTTTTTATAATCATTTACAATTAGCAGCCACAGTGATCATTTACTTGGTGGCTCATGACTGTAATCCCAGTACTTTGGGAGGCTGAGATAGAAGGATCCCAAATTGAAGCCTAGGTAATTCTGTGATTTAGCAAGAACTCATCTCAAAATTAAAGGACTGTGAGCCAGATGTGATGGTGCATACCTGTAATCCCAGCACTCTAGGAGGTTGAGGCATAAGGATCACAAGTTCAAGCCCAGCCTGGACAATTTACTACCTTAGTGAGACCCTTTCTCAAAATAAAAAATAAAAATGGAGTACTACCAGCCATAAGTAATGATAAACTACAGACATTTATAGCTAAATGAATGCACATTGAGGCCATACTCTTAAGTGAAATAAACAGGACACACATGTGTAAATACTGAATATTTTCCCTAGTGTGAGAAACTGAAAGTGTAAATAGGGACTAAAAGGTATAATGGATAATGTGAAATAGGAAGAAAAGGTCCAAGGGGAAGGGGAAGGTGCAGTAGGAGGGGTAGGAGAAAGGAAAGAAGGGAAAGGAAAAAATACGAGAAAAGGAAATAATGGAAACAAAGTCTTTGTAAATGGAAGGGGTGGAGGGATTGAAGGAAGGGCAGAAGGGGGAAAAAATAAGAACCAAGATATATCATTAAAGGTATAAATTCCCAATGATGAATGTCATCATATTGTACACCTAAAATGTACCAATAAACTTAATGAATAAAAAAATTTAAAAGATAAAAAATAAAAAGGGCTGGGGATATAGCTAATCCAGAAAGCCCTGGGTTCAATCTCCAGTATCCTCCCCCCAAAGACTCCATCTCAAAATAAATTTAAAAATTTTTTAAATGATAAAAATGCAAACCAGATCATCTCACTTTTTTGCTTAAAATGCATATGCTCTGGGTTTGATTCCCAGTACCACTACCACCAAGACAAAAAACAACAACAAAAAAGGGAAATGATTCCACGGTGTATTTCCTGTAACTCTAAACTCTCCACACAGGACCTATAGGTCAAGCAGACCTATAAAAAGCTCTGCTTGATCTTGCCCTGTGCCTGACCTTACACTATGCTCCCAGCAATGCTCCCAGTAGTGTTCAGGCTATTTTTGGTTTTCTTTCTTTCCTTGACCACATCCAGTTCATTCCTGCTTCAGAACCTTTGCTTTTTTTTTTTTTGGTACCAGGGATCGAACTCGGGTCCTTGCGCTTGCGAGGCAGGTGATAGAACCACTGGGCTAAATCCCCGGCCCAGGACCTTTGCTTTTACTGCTCCCCTTTGCCTAAAATGAATGGTCTTCCTCTAGATCTTAACATGAAGGTCCCTTATCATTCAGGTCTCAGCTCAACTGTCCTCTTTAATGACCATCCTATCTAATCCTGCCACCTTGGTCTGGACAGCTCAGTGGCAAATGCTCTTATCAAGCATGCATGAAGCCCTGATTCAATCTTCAGGGCTTAAAAAAAAAAAAAAAAAAAATTCCAAAAAATAAAAAACTAAGGCTGGGCATAGTGTACATCCCTGTAATCCCAGCACTCAAGAGGCTGAGGCAGGCGGATTACAGAGAATTCCAGGCCAGCCTGAGCTACACAGTGAGTTCAAGGCCAGTCTGTACTACATAGTGAGACTCTGTCTCAAAAAACCAATGTTGAATGAATGATGAAAGAAACTTTTAAACTTGCCACCACTGGAGAAGTATACAGAATGTCTACCTAAATACTCACAGGAAGGATACCAACTAATAAAAGGTTATCTATGGGGGACTAAGTGGACAGGGACAGGAGGGAAGTGAGAGTTCTCACTGTGTATCTGTATATCTTTTTATACTATTTTGATTTTTTTTTCCCCAGTACTAGAATTAAACCCAGAACCTTACACATGCTAGGCAAGTGGTCTACTACTGAAATATATTCCTAGCCTTTTAAAAATTTTGAGACAGGGGCTTGCTAAGTTCCAGTGCTGACCTGGAACTTATGATCTTCCTGCCTCAGCTTCCCAAGTAGCTGGGATTATAGGTGTGCACCATGGCACTTGGCTTTCTTAACCATATGAATTTATTATCTACTCAAAAACTAAACAATATGGAATGGGGAAATCGCCATCTCTAGTGGGGCTCTTCTACCCCTGGGAATATGCCTACTATCAGAAAGGATGCCTGCCCTCAGGAGGAAAACACTGGAGGTGGATGGGTGGCTTCTGACTTAGGTTGTTACCAAATACCACTCAACTCTCCACAATGACTTGGCTCAAATGACAGTACCAGAAAACAAAGCCCTGCCAGGGTGGGGAGGGAACTTGACACACCTGTGCCCCGACACTGCCAGGATAACTTGTCCCACCCATCCAATATACCTCTAATGGCAGCAGGCTACAAAGGGATAGGAGGGGCTAAATCCAGGCTTGGCTGCCATTGGAATGTGGTCTCAATTTTTTTCAGCTCAAGTATCAGTTCTTCTTTGGGTGGTTGAAAACTACAGAGAAAATAAATCCAAGGCTCAAGGGAAACCCCTGGGAGTTATATAAGCAGCAAAGGAGACCTTATTGACTGGTGTCCTGGTTTGGAAAATGGGATTACCTACAGTTGGCCTAGAGTGGAAGAGGACTAGTTGGTATTTATGAAATGAGAGCAGGAAGGGTCATATAGGATGACGTCCTATCAGTACATCTGTTAAGGGTCTCACTCAGTGAACTTGCCTGGTAATCCTAGACTGCTCCTAAACCTGCCCCAGGAAGATACAACTGACTGATCTGGCAAGACTGCCAGAGAAAGACCTATCAAAGATGACAGACAGCTTTCTTATCAAAATGCAGAGTGCTGGTTCTTCTAGCAGATCCCAGGAAGAAAACAGATCAGTAAATCCAATTCCACACTTCCTATGTATGAGACAGTAGGCAGGCAGGAGGGCTGCAGGGCACTGGCTAATTACCTGAAGTGCTACATCATCAAAATGCACACAGGAGTCCAGAAGGTCAGTTGTGGACAGGAAGATGGACCCTACTCAGAGTTACTGCAGAGGAAAGGCAGCGGCCAAGCTACTGTCAGAAGAAGCACACTGCTGACTATGACACAGTAGAACCTTCCAGAGCGGCCTCAGAACTGGAGATTTGCAGCATCAAGCTTGAGGCAGACTCTGAAAGCCATTCTCTTGTAGCCACCCCTGCTCCTCTGTACCAGACCTCTGTTGGGGTGGGGAGGGGTAGCAAAACACAGGGATGGCCCCATGCATCCCATTCCTCATGGATATTTTCCACCAGGGCTGCCACATTGCCTCTCCAAACCCCAGCAGACTGACTCACCTGTACTGGCTCCTCCAAGACTCCACTGCAAATAGGGCAGATAAGGTCTTCGTCAACATCCCCCTGGAAACGGGTTACATCATACCCCATGTCTCATCACTGAAACCCAGGTCCTAGGAGGGGGAACAGAGGAAGAAGTGGCCAGTTCAGAAAAGCCTACGGATATGGAGCAAACATGAACTCATTGCTAACATCTATTCACTGATCTAACAAATATTTACTGAGTCTACTATGTGCCAGTCATTTGGAAGGCATGTGCGGTGCCACTGAGCTAAATCCACGGTGTGTGCCAGTCATTTGGAAAGAGATAAAATAAAGCTGACTCAGGGGCTGGGGATTTAGCTCAGTGATGCTGCCTGCCTTGCAAGTACAAGGTCCCGAGTTCAATCCCCAGTACCAAAAAAAAAAAAGCTGACTCAATAAAGTTAAATATAGTGGGGGAGACATTACATAGAATACATGTAAAATGAGAAGTGATAAAAACAATGATGCAATAGGCACTAGGACTTATGGGGCAGGGGATAGGTTACATAACACAGGCTGGAAAAAGGTTGGTTTTGAGAAGTTTTCCAGGACTAGGTATCACCCAAAATGAGTTCAGTGGGACAAGCAAGAATTAGCTACATGCAGCAGCTGGGAAAATGGCGGATAGAAAGGCGGGAGAGGAGAAGCCTGAGAAGCCGAAGCTAGCTGGAGCTGCCGGAGTAATGGAGGGAAAAGTGCAGTCGCAGTGCTGAGAAGTGATCAACTGAAGAAGCTGCAGACCTCCCAACAAAGCCTACAAAGAGGGCCGGGGATTTAGCTCAGTGGTTTCCCCACCTGCTGCGCAAGTGCAAGGACCCGAGTTCGATCCCTGGTACCAAAAAAAAACAAAAACAAAAACAAAGCCTACAAAGATCTCCAAGTTTGGATTTGCCATAGGTAGTCAGACGACAAAGAAAGCATCAGCTATATTCATCAAACTTGGTTCAAGTAAACCTAAAGAAACTGTTCCAACTCTTGCTCCAAAAACCCTTCCAGTAGCAGCAGCTTTTAATGAAGATGAAGATAGTGAACCAGAGGAAATGTCTCCAGAAGCAAAGATGAGGATGAAGAATACTGGAAGGGCTACACCAACACCAGCCAGACCAATCTCTTTCAATAAAGGAAAGCATGGGTTTTCTGATAACCAGAAGCTATGGGAATGAAATATAAAATCTCATCTCCATGACCAAGACAATTAAATGATGTGTTTTGAATTGGGGTGTGGGATGGGTGTAAAGTTAAAAGGAACAGTTTCCTTTTTTAAAGAATGGTATAAGACTATCTTTGGAGCCCCCCCCTTTTTTTCTTTTTCATTTTTTTTTAAGATTGAGTGTTACACTAATAAGTGAGAGTTTGAAATTAAGAGGTAATTTATGTTTTTGGGCTGGGGATTTAGCTCAGTGGTTTCGCTGCCTGCTGCGCAAGCGCAAGGACCCGAGTTCAATCCCCGGTACCAAAAAAAAAAAAAAAAACCAAAGAGGTAATTTATGTTTTATATATAGATTTCAAGACATTTGCTAATTTTGTAGTTTCATGTGATTAGTTCAAAAAAGTTACAGATAATAAATCAGACCTGGTATCTTTTTAAAAATTGCATATTTTTAAAAACACAACTATTAGCACATTAAGAGGGAAGCAAAAAATTACTGTCTATTTAAAACTGTTAGTAGTTTTAACTGTAAATCCTAAATTAACTCCCTCATTACCTAAACTGCCTGGCTCCCAGAAACAGCCTTATAGAGAAAGGGGGAGAATTGTATTGAAAGGAAAATGTTGCTGGACTATTGACTGAAAGTAAATTTAGATAAAATTAAAATAGTTTTTTTCCTTATGGTCATTTGTTTTGTTATCATATTATTAGGTACTACATTGCTATCAGTGGATACAGATGCTTAGCCGTTTTAAAACAATTATTTTTAAAAAAATTTCTATGTGAAGTATCATATTTGAAATAGCCCATTTCACTTTAATGGTCTTATCTACCTTCATTAGTCTTCAAAGAATAGCCATTTGCTACCAAAGTAAATCAGTATTTTGAATGTGCTTCTCCTGGTTTTTGTTTATTAGCTATTTCTTGTAAGCATTTCCACCAGAACTTGAGGCAAATCATAAGGAAGCTGTTTCTTTTATAATACAAACCACCACCAAAAATTTAAATGTACATACTGCTTAAGTATTTGGCTGGTTTTTATTTTTTTATTTTATTTTATTTTATTTTTTGGTACCGGGGATCAAACTCGGGACCTTGTGCTTGCACAGCAGGCGGCAGAACCACTGAGCTAAATCCCCAGCCCTGTTTATACCCTTTTATTTTCGGTACCGGGGATCGAACTTGTGACCCTGCACTTGCGTGGCAGGCGGTGGAAACCACTGAGCTAAATCCCCGGCCCTTCTGTTTATACCTTTTAAAAAATAAAAAATAAAATAAAAACCAGGGCCAGGGATTTAGCTCAGTGGTTTCCACCGCCTGCCACGCAAGCGCAAGGTCCCAAGTTCGATCCCCGGTACCAAAACAAACAAAACAAAACCAAAAAAGGGTACAAACAAAAAAAATTTAACATTGTAGAAGATGGAAAACAATAAGATGCATTTTCTGTAACTTTGTCTACACATTTACATTACTAAGTTGTTAAATCCAAGTTGAATTGAACTCACTACAGGATTTCTTATTAGAACAATTATATGGTTTATTTTAAGTGTATACATACTGCCCAATGGCCTCTCAAAACCATATTGTAGGTACTGAAAATGAAAGAAAATGCATCTTCAAACACATTTTATGGAATTGTTCATCACAAATACTGTTAGATTTATGTACTGTAGGGTGTTTTGTCTTGTATTTTTGTATTGTATATGGACTTTTTTTAATGTGACAGTTAAACACATCTTTGAAAGCACAGTCACAGACAAAAGAAAAATACAGTGATTTCCTTCAGAATGCCTACAATGTTAAATTTGAAGGCAGCTTCAGACTATTTTATCAGTGGTAGTTATCTTTTTTAATAGTAACTCCAGAGAAAAGCCTGCATATATGCCTAATAAGTTGTTCTTTTACATTACAGTTTAGATTAAACCCCAAGTAAAACAATGGAAATGTATATATATATGAAATGGAAAAATGGAAATTATATATATCAAGATACATGAATTTAACTTTAACTTTACTTTTATGTAGCCAAACTATTCATTTTTGTCCATTTTACTGTTTGTTAAAATAACATCCCTCTCATACATACTCTTTTCTTGACCCAAATGAAATACTAATCTAAGGTCAAGATGAGGAGAGAAACAACTGAGATGAACTTTTCTTTTGGTACCGGGGATCCGCCAGAAACACTGAGCTAAATCCCTGGCCCTGAGATGAATGTTTTTACTAAAATAACCAATAAATTTTGTCAAACTCAAAAAGAATTAGCTACATGGCAGGGCATCATAAGTTTAGGCACAAGAAGTAGCACACTCAGTCAGGCATGGTGGCAGATGCCTGAAATCCCAGCACACGGGAGGCAGGAGGATTCCTGCAAGTTTGAGGCCAGCCTGAGCTACATAGTGAGACCTTGTCTCAAAAAAAAAAAGAATAACAGAAGAGAAGGCAAGGCACACTGAAAGGTCATGATGGATTTGGGGAATTGGAAGTGGTTCAGAAAAAGTGGCCTTGAAAAAAATAAATAAATAAATAAAATTATTGTTTTAATTTTTTTTTTTGGTACCAGGGACTGAACTCGGGACCTTGTGCTTGCAAAGCAGGTGTCCGCACCACTGAGCTAAATCCCCACCCCTATTGTTCTAATATTGAAATAGGGTTTCACTTATTCACAGTTGCCCAGGCTGGGCTCAAACTTGTGATCCTCCTTCCTCAGTTTCCCAGAGGGAACAGCTTCCCAGAGGAATTACAGGTGTGTGCCACCATGTCAGGCTTGTCTTGTGCACTGCAGAATGTCTGGCAGCATCCCTGGCCTTTCTACTTTCAAGATGACAGGAGCTTTCCCACAATCATGACAACCAATTACGTTTATCTAGACAGTGGCAAATATCCTCCAAGGGACAAAATGAAGAACAAACTGCCTCTCATTGATCATTACTTATTTAGAAAACTGAGAAGTGAGTGTCATGGATCATGGAATGGAGCTTCCAGAATAGATAAATAACAGGAATCAGCTAGGGACGATGTTCAAACCTATAATCTCACCACCCTGGGAAGGTGAAGCAGGACTGCTGGCCCAACCCAACCTGGACAACTTAGCAAGACCCCAGGTCAAAATATAAAATGAAAAAAGGGCTGGAATACAGCTCAGTGCAAAGCCTGGGTTCAATCCCCAGTATTTAAAAAAAAAAAAAAAGTATAGGGGCAAATTAGAAGGACATAAAAAAAAACCCTATGGGATACAGAGAGACTAACACTGTAAAATCATCACATGCTTATCTGCTTATCTGTGGATGACAACTAAAATCATCACATGCTTATCATGTACCATGTAAAGAAAATGGACCCTTCTGTATCCTTATAAAAGTGTTACTCACATTTACTGTATGCTGACCTTGCCCGCTTCCCAGAAACAAAGGCCAAGACCCTGATTGGCCCAGACCACACTAATCAATGAAACAGTCATTTTAAAAAACCAGCTAACCAGGGCCAGGGATTTAGTTCAGTGGTTCCACTGCCCGCCTCAAAAGCCCAAGGACCCAAGTTTGATCCCCAGTACCAAAAAAAACCAAAACAAAACCAGTTTACCAAACCAAACCAAAAACAGCTTACCCCTATAAGTACGAAGCACACCTCAAACTCAGCGGGATGCCCCCTATCTTGCAGCACCACTCTGCTGCTAAGACAGCTCTTCTGCTTTCTCTGCATTTGCCACACTTTAAATAAACTTCCCTTCACATTAGACCAGTCTTGACACCGCCCCCCATTTTTTCACTAAGAGCCTCACTTCTCCATTCTTCACAAGAGGGCCAAGGACCCAAAAGAGACAGAGGGTCATTATGGGGGACCCCTACCCCCTCCTAAAGATACCCCCCCAACACAACATAGGAAATTAGTAAAGGGTTTATGTAGAGATGCACTAGACAATAAGGACAGAGAAGAGTG